CATGTCGATAACAATTGATTGTTTACATACTCAATTAAGCGCTGATGGAGCGACCAGCATTATTTCTAGAAATGAACAATCACTCGGATTTGTGTCACAGAGGCCCATTAACATGTTTATCGTATTGCAAACGATGCTTTCGCGTTTTTTATTCACCCGTGGGAAATACTAGAAGTTCGGGTGATAAATTGTCACTTGTTTTCATCATAGATATTATCTGTATCATTAATCGGTAATATTTTGCAATTACAGGAGAAATCAGGTCAGCTCTAGCGCCACGGAAACCAGAACGGACGGCGAGCATGCGAGAGCGAGAAGCGCATCTAGAACTTCCGAAACGCAGAACTCCAATAGACGACGACAAAGACGAGGTCGATGACGGCCCCCACGAGCTGGTGCAGGCCACCAACGAAGCCGTCATCCATAACTACGACGACGTCTACAACTCCAGGAAATACGAAGAAGAAACGTGTGATTCCGCCAAAAACAGTGACAGCGATTACGAATACGTGCACCACGCGCGATCCAGCTCGCCCGAATGCGATTCAGCCATCAAAACTACAACTCCCGAAAGGAACGAAGCCAGAAAAAGCGTTGAAAACCCCGAATTCCCCAAATACAACGGTTTCAGATCGTCACTCCCTTACTGCGGAAGCGAGACAGAATCCGAAATCTACTCGCCATACAGCTTCTACAGCTCGAACGATGCCATGGACAGTCCAAGCAACGAAGATTACCAGAACGAAATGACACCAAAAAACACAACAAACAAACTGAGAGTGCGAAAGGGACGCAGCGTGGTCCACAGGAATCTTGAAGATAATTACGGTGCTGTAGTGATTGCGAATCACGAAGCCCTAGCGCAGGTTTTAGAACAGGTAATTTATCTAACCATACGCTTGGGCGTGTTTTTCTTATACGGTTTCTATTATTAGTTTGTCCCGTTCAGTTGCATTCTAGTTTATTCACCCGTGACTTTATGGAAATGGCTATTATATAACTTCATTCATACGTAACGTTGCGTATTTAAATACTTTCAATAGACAAAATTATGTACACGGCGATTTCACTTTTGTATTGACAATGGCAATGGAATGGAAATGTTGCCGTATCTGTTATTTAAAATGTAAATACAGTGGTGTCATCATCAGAAATTACCTATTGCTATGGTAATTAACATAATGTTGATAACTTTGTCGATCGTTTTTAGTGGTTGAGAACTTTAGGTACTGCAACGCCCGAGGTCACGGGTTTGATCCCCTACAGTAGGTACATAAGAAATACACGAAAGTAATCTTGCATTCGTCTAGGTATTTTCTATGTTAACATCTTTGTGAATTTGTTATATCTTAATCACCCTTACAAGATTCGTTCGTTCGTTCTTTTCAGCCTAAAGACGTCCACTGCTGGACAAAGGCCTCCCCCAAGGATTTCCACAAAGACCGGTCCTGCGCCGCTCGCATCCAGGCACCTCCCGCGACCCTCACCAGATCGTCGGTCCACCTAGCGGGAGGCCTGCCCACGCTACGTCTTCCGGCTCGTGGTCGCCACTCAAGAACTTTCCTGCCCCAGCGGCCATCAGCTTTTCGAGCTGCCACTTGATTTTAGCGATTCTGCGGGCTATGTCAGTCACTCTGGTTCTCCTACGGATCTCCTCATTTCATAGCGCGCTCCATCGCTCTTTGGGTGACCTTGAGCCTTACAAGATTATCATATTATTATCATCGTCGGCCTGATTATCACTTACCATCAGGTGAGATACAGGCCAAGAGCTTCCTCGTTGTGGATAAAAAAATATGCCTATTCGTTAACATAAAAATATTTCCATTTACAAGGCTTTAGTTGTAAACTTAGTTGTTACGTTGGACAATTACTCGTACATCGCTAAAACAAATGTTTGTTTTGTACAAAAACTTGTTTCCTTGGCAGTTCTGCATATTCATTTACAATACAAATTGTTTTAATTTCCAAAAGGTTTTCTATTTCTGGAATGTTAATAGCTCGAACAATATAAGGTCAAGGGAACATTCGTAGATCGAATCTTTATGGGAACAATGCTTTAACAAAAAGTACCGTGACGAATGCAGTCAAGGTGGAAGTAAAAAATCTATGATAGTACGTAGATATTTTATCATTTCAAGTAGGACTGTTTTAATCAAACCAATCTCCTCCAAGGAGAAAGGAATGCTAAAGAGAGTAAAGTGTCATTATAGTTTCATTTTCGTTATTACCTAATTGCTTGGCCTTATTGACTCTAACCTTCATTCTACCTTGTTCGTACCTAACTTAAAAACGTCGCGAAGCGTCACAAAATGAAATACCTACCAGTGCAAATAGTACACTAGCTTTAATAAACGCACTAGCTTAAAGTAATACAATTTCCAGTCAAATTAATCAATTAAAATCTCCAAATTCCAGGTTCAACAAAGTGCGACGATGCAGCCTTCCCTGCGCGGGCTGAAGGCTTGCACAAACCTCCGCTGGAACGACTTTTCCATCCAGCCAATGCCGAAGAATTCCTTCGTGCGAGCAGGCAAGAGGATCTTCTACCCTGCCATCTGGAACTCCAGCCAAGGGCCGGTCAACGTAACCCTGATGCTGTACAAGGAGCAGATGGCCTCTCAGATGATTTGCCAGCAGTCGGTCCAGCCACAAACGCTGAGTCTGAACGCTATCACGGAGTTCTGCGATCTGGTGTCGCTGCAGCATTTTGGGGAAGACGGAGAAGATTTGGTTCAAGGTCAGTTTGAAAATTAAACTCATTTTACTTATGCAAGTAGGCTTTTAAAAAGCACTTTTACACGTCCCAGTATTAACCCTATCACTGCTTCGGGACAAAAAATTGGCCAGTGCTGAAATATGAGTCAAATCTGTGTAGCGCAATTTGGGAACGTGGAAACGACCTGAACTTTGGTAGTCTTATTAACTGATAGAAATTTTCATTGCACAAGTGAATGCCTTACTGCACCTTGGTGCATCTATCTGTTACTTCTTCTTTGCACTACACCAATACGGCATTCTCCACAATATCTAGTTCGTTCGTTTCAGCCTCCTCCAAGGTTTTCCACAATGCACGGTCCTGCGCTATATCTAGTTAAATAGCTCAAAATGAATACTTACTATGTCCACGAAAGATCTCACGAAGCTAGCAAAACAATACCTAAATAAATTAACAATAACACGTCATCTAACACAACTCTTTTACATTCCAGCGACCATAGTGGTCCTCGCACACGTTCAAGTCGACACCATCCAATCGTACGGAGAAAGCCTCCACGCCACCGAAGGTTTAACCACCAAAGAGTACCAGCTCGTCCAAACAGAACAGACACACGAGGCCATATTCATGATGCTCCAACTCATAAACGGCCTGAAGTGCCTTCAAGCGAGAGGCGTAGAAGAAATCCCCGATACACTATGCTCGTTCATATCCTTGAAGGAGATACAGCCACTGGTGTCACATGGTAGCACACTGAATCTGCCATCTCCTGATGATAGACTCAACTCTTTGTGGGCACCTAAAACCAACTGCTACGGGCGGTTGTGCATATTGCAAGGGTAAGTTATAAATCAGTTATGGGAGCACGGTAGTGCATTAAATTGTAGAGCAAGTTTGGAAATAAATTACGCACAATAAGTAGATGTCTTTGTAGTGTCTATAGCTTCTATATAAACGGGTGAAGAATATTAGTTAGTTGAAATGTTGCATGAAATACGAGTGATAATTCGATTTTTCGATCTTTAAATGTGCATGTTTTGTGCATGTCTACGATCACGTCAAGATGAAAATCTTTTCCGCGTCCATTTTTATGAATACAATACTTGACCAAATTAATAATTAATACACTACCTACTTACTTTATCAAATTCAAATTAAGTTCAGTACCTACTTTTAAGTGAAAGCCACCTCCAACTAACCAGCATTCTGGTTCACCTTCAGTGATGAAGCAGGACTAATTGATATCCATCTCTTTCCAGACTGAGCGAAGAAATCAACAGCAGCAAATCAGCAGATGAAGAGCACCTCAACTCTCTCTGCAAGTGCGGCATGAAGGCCCTGGAAATCCTTCTTCCAGGCGAGAAACTAACCCCACTCCTCAAAGAGGTATTACAAGAAGAACGCGCCATATCCTTGAACCAAGCTAAATCCGTCCTGGAGTTTATGCTTTGGGGTCCTTTGGACGTCGTGCAAGGCGTCCCAGTTGAAGACAGAGAATTATCCTTACAAAGGTGGCTGGATCTAGAGAGAGCAACGGTTCTGCATGGCCTGGTCAGAACCAGAGTACAACTCAACGTATTCGAACAACTACACCTCATGTTTTTGGTTCGGTCTACCGCGAAAGCCATGTGCGACGCCTCTGTTCTCTTAGAGAAGGCCAATGTGTATTAATGTAAATTCCTTAAGCTTTAAGCCACCCGTTTCATACCCTATGAAACGGGACATACTTTAAGAACTAGCTTAGTTGGGCACCTGAAAGACTTGTTAGTTAAAATTAATGTTAAATTGCGTCCAAGTTGAGTCCCACCCGAGAACATATTTTAAGTGGATTTAAGTGTTGAGAAAATGAGTAAAATATATTTTTAAATACAGATTAATAAGGTATCCGTTTAATACAATTAAATTGTAAACTTTGTTACTTTTTCCATGTTAAAACGATGTAATTTTGTAAAGATTAAATTAAAAACGATTTGTTTAGTAAAACGACAGTTAAATGTTATTTTTGTTAATATTGGACCATATAAAAACATTGTTAGGTGCCAATAAATAGAACTGAAGTAATATACTCAATGTATTTTATGTTTCTGGTGCCTTATTTACTTGTATTATATAGTTTATTGTAAATTTAACTCATATACCTAATTTATATTCTTTAAACGAGCTCTATAATGTTATTCGCGAGTTCAAAATATTGATTTGTATTAAAATTCATCGAATATACAGATTTTATGCAAGTTTTTGTTTTATTGGACTCCTTAAATTAAACTGTAGTAAAAACAAATAGTTATGATCTATGATTTATTGTCTCATTGTGCAACAAAACATTAACAATCAGTCACACAAACAGTAAAATGTCTTATAACCATCACAGATAACGGTATTATATAACAGGCAAAAAAATAAGTTAAGCTAAAGCCAACAGACGCATTGTATGTAGTTTCATTTTTTAAGAACTTGCCGCGGCACTACTGTGCACCCAAATGGTATTGTTTCAATATACATATAAATACAAAATACAAAATGCACAGCATATTAAAACCTTTAAACTACTCTACAAAAATCACAAGAAAATACTTGAATTAAAAACCAAATAAATAAACAAAATATTTGTACGGTCTTTAAGATTCATAAAATATTGTTAATAAAATGAAAACATGCTTGATAAATGGCACAAAATAAAATAAAAATATTAAAAATACATAAATAGCCACTAGACTAGATTTCAATTCGGTGTCACACTCATCAGAATAAAATAAACGGAATATATAAAATCACTCACAAGACTTAGTAAAGAATTTGGAATGTGATTATTTGATTACATACATAAACATTATAAAATTATTTAAAATAAGATAAAAAACCAGATCCGACAATAATTCGACATTGTAAATGAAATAAAAAATATAAAATTATCATACTTTCAATAAACGAGATAAAGTTTAGTATACTTAAATTTAATGTACCTAATTATTCGATAGAAATATAAAATAAAACTAAAAATGATCAATATAAAAACAATATTTTTCTTAAGCATCAACGAATGATTAAGTAACTTAAAAATCGCGTGGAACTTCGCCCTTATCACAAAAGTGAGCAAAAATGGTGTAAGTCCACGCTAATACAAAATATGACATCTGTATCCGTAAATAAAGTATGACAGAGAGATTGAACTGACCCAATATCCTCATATTGCACTTTGTAAAAAACATAACCCTCCTTCTGGCGCGGTCGGGTAAAAAAGAGGTCTCTCTCAAACTCAAACTACAAGATACATAGACAGTTCGATGTCACTGTTTTTAATTTGTATCATTTACCTATTTTTATTAGCGTGGACTATTGAATAAAGTAGGTTTTCTGGGCAAAGTCCACTTGTAGGAATTTATTGCAGCAAATTTTCGGGCCCCTAACGAAAAAAGTGTGCCCATTTATGTTTAGCACATTTTAATAACATTGCGTGAACAAAAACGTTAGGCGTTTTCCCCCAAGACGACTCGATAACGGTAACGTTATCGTATATCGTTAACACTGGCTGGACGGCTTATAATACATTAGCAAGCACAAAAGCATTAGTATAAGTGTAGTAGACGTTTGACCATACACTTCAGCCGTCTAAACTTAAAGCAAAACGCCTATTAGCATAATTGAACAATTGACTTCTTTACTAAATCTTATCAACTAAATTACTATCAATTCATTTTTCCTTAAAAACAATAATTCACGCGCTAGTTAAATGTAAACTTTTTGGAATATTTTTTTTTTCGGCATTTAACTCGCGCGCGATATTTTCTCCGACGACAATCTACAGAGTTGCCAGTTGTAAAAAGTTTCATGATATATCGGTAACGGTATTAAGTATTAACGATTCAACTTATTCCATTCACGTTTTAGTTCACAATTTAGGCTCGGAAATTCGGAATCCATATTTAATTTCATGAGACATAATTTTATATTCAGATGTTTTATCTTTCGGTTCTTGATACAGTAGATTCTCCCTTTAATAAACGAGATAATTTTGTACAAATTTCAGGGTCTCATGATATCAACGTTGAACAGTATTTTGTATTGAATTTTAGTTTGAGAGAATACTCCCAGAATCAACCCCATAAGTACTCGCATTGTCATTACCGATTTTTTCACTGGCAACCCTTAACCACCCTATAAATCTAGCCTACGTTTTAACCTAATACAATACTTTCACTTATTTACAATCCCTTGTTGAAGTATACATACTGCGGTGGTTTTCCGTCGGTGTTTTTCACTATTTCTTCGTACCTATCTTTTTCGAAACGCTGGATTGTGTCGATTGATATTTTACTGTAAAATGTAGAACGTACGTTTAAATAATATATTCTATTGTATTTTATTTGACGTTTGTTTGATTTATTTTATAATTGAAGGTCATAGCACACTTATCAACCGGGAAACGGATCGTAACCGAATTAACTCGAGGCGGTTAGTATTATTTGTATGAAACTCCGTCCTGCAACGCACACCTATCCGCACCGTAACGTAAACGCCTCGCCTTGCGGTTGACAACGCGGCGAAAGGCGATACGGTGTTGATCCCTTTCGAGGCTCATAAGTGTGCTGTGACCTTGAGTTGTAATAAAGGTAAATAACTTACCATCTTTGCGGGAATATCGCGCAGGCAGTAGGCACCATGAAGGTTAAGCTGAAAAGAAGAGAACACTTTTAGTGATACCTTTTTATATACAAATAACCGTCTTCTCTTTCCCATGAATGCAACTATAGCCAGGATCTACAGTCTGGCCTCCAATGAAGGTTGAATGTGATCAGAAGAATAACAGTATAATAAGAAGAATAAAACGTCCCTCTTTTGCTCGATAGACCAAGACAAGAAGATACATGGCAGTATTTGAATGTCAAAACGAGGATCGTGATTAATAGCGTTCCAATAGAGGCTGCCCATTTTATGGAAGTCCCGTCAACTCCTCGTGGTAAGCTAAATATGATTGTGTTACGAGTGGGTTCACCACTAGTCCAGCGGCGGGGTTCAAACCTCGGATATTGATTATAGTGGGACTTACGTCCAGCAGTGAACAATTAAAATACATAGTATACTCACAACATGCCCACAATAGCGGTTTGTATGCCGATGTGCGCCCAGCGAATGCGTTGCATCCAAGGTTTAGGTTCTAAACGCTCCATGATGACCGGCAGGAGAAGCATGCCTGGCGCGCACATTACTATCCTGGAATTTAAAAATAATATCTCATGTAGTACATACAGAGTGTCCCAAAAAGTAGTGTCAAGTTACATGCCTGATTTTTTCATTTATTATTAGATGAATACCAGGCCTAGCTGATTCAGAAGTATTTACATCCATAACACGGAAAAAATCCTCGATGTTGTAAAAAAAAACATAACTCGAAAACTACGCTCTACCTCTGGGCTTCGGCTTGACACTACTTTTTGGGACACCCTGTATACACATAATATGTACCTACAGTCAACGTCAATAGTTCGTGACATCCAGTGGCCAATAAGTTGACAACACTTACAGTTCGCAACAGTGTCTTTGTTACATTGGAATTAGGTTCATTGTAACAAAGACATGTTACGAACTTATTGGCTACTTATGGGTGTCACGAATTGTTTGACGCTGACTGTAGTGGTGATAGCACTTACCTCTATACACACTGGATAGGCTGTCTCATACAAGCGAGTAAGAACATCACTAATTTTATTTCCATGGACAATCGTATCTGCCTACAGTATGGCCTACAGCGCCAAAATGGCGAAACTCAAATAGGCACAAAAATATTATGATAGCAATCAGTCCAGTGTGTAATACAGGTCAATGGGTGATAGGTGCTATTTTACATCAAAAAGATGCGATTGACTGTAAGTTGTACGGTGACAATTTACAAAATTAGTTTACGCTGTCGTAGCTTTTTATTAACTTAACATCACTATTCGTACTATCGTCATCTCAGCCATAGGCCGTCCACTGCTGAACATAGGCCTCCCCCAATGCTTTCCATGTTGCCCGGTTGGTAGCGGCCTGCGTCCAGCGCCTTCCTGCTACCTTTACGATGTCTTGTTATAAATATCGTCGTTTATATCTTTGATATTAAGTTATTTTGCCATACAGTCTGTCACAAAGAGTCGTCATCACTCTGTGTATTCATCCTATTTATTTGATTATTTGTGTCTATTGTCTACATACCTTGACGTGACAACTTGTGATATTCCCTTCACAGGAGCCAGCTGCGACTTGCCAATGATCTTGCCGTTTTCATCCGTCACGTCAAGTCCTGGAATAATAAAAGGTAGTTTGTAAACGATAACAAAGTCGAGGTATCTGTATGTCTGAATACTAACGCCCGTATTCACAAGCGATACTTGCTTAAATGAAGCGCACGCGCACTGTGAGACCTCATAGTAATGTTTGTGAATACGGGCGTAAGTGTCTGTTTGGAGCATACTAGCTCTTAACTTAAATTAATGTACCGATTAAGAAGATTTTTATCAGACAGTAAGAACCCTTAGATTCAGAAAACCTAGATGGATAGTCTTCATACAAACGCTTCGTCAAGAGTGAGGCAGAAATCTTATGTCATTAGTGTCAATTTTGTTGGGGAGTGTAGGCAGTGAAGGCGATTTTCCCGAAAGTAGGGAAATTTTTAATACGTTTTTAATTATTTTATATTTAACAAAAACAAAACGCATCATATACTTACTTATTTATTGAATTCAAAGTACCTACCTAATTACAATAAGATAAATCGACTTAAAAGTCACGATTTCATAAAAAAGGATTAAGGAAGTGTATTTGTACGGCGAACAATTGGGAAATAAATTTTCTTGTTACTGGTATCATTCCCGTATTTAATTTTTGAAAGCCAAATTCAAGCAAAATACGCGTCGAATCGTAGTACTTACTTATGAAATGTAACACTGCACTGGTCACTTTCTTTCGTTTTTCTGATGTATTTAGACACCCTTTCACAGCACAAACCGTCATAATTAATTAAAAGTCGTCGGACGTGTTTACCAATTTTTCACTTTGACAGTTCATGTGACGTTTACGAGTGAGCCATTCAGGCGGTCTTTGTCTGTGGGAGTGTTAGTTTCTACACGTGTTTTGAGAAATATTTTGTGTTATCGTAATCGTTTTTCCAAATTTATCATATTTACGTTAAGTTAACCTTAGTTATAGTCTTAATTAAGGTGGTGGTCGATTGTTTTACGGGTAAGTACCGTTCTTAGGAATGGAACCTTGCCCCCCTGATCCTCCTGATCCTCCTGATAGGGCCGCAACCCCTATGGAGCTCTCCCCTCCTCTTTTTACCCAAACGGGGACAAAAAGACGNTGATTTATGTCCCATTACATCACTTTACACGAATGTAAAGTTGCCGTGCATGGCGATATAACTGGGTTTTTATTTAATTACGAAAAAACCACATGCTATATTTCCCAAACTGGCACACTGCCTAATTATATCTAACATTACCTTTCACCTAAAAAATATTTCACCAAGTTATCTCTAATAGCGACGAAGCAGGATTTTTTTTAACTTCAAATGCGATTTCCCAAAAATCACCATTTTCGACTTAACTCCGTTTTCACTGGGGGTACAGATATTTGCTATCTGAAAGTTGGCCGGACTAGCACTTTAGCACTTCGTATGAGAAATGACGAAGCCATCCGAGCGGTGTTTATCTAACGCGCAATTTATTCATAGGGTACGGCAGATGTATGGCCGCGATAGTGACTGTGGCGCATTGACGCCGATTCTGTTAGGCACTGCACAGTGCACACACTACACTCCACTAAGCTGAAACCTCTTTTTATCTCTTAAGTAAATCAAACTAATTTTGCTATGGCAAACTTTTACAAAGTTGCAGGTATCACATTTCTTTTCATCAATCTCAATAAATTCACAAACGTAGTGAAATTGTCCTTGGATTTTACTCTTAACGAGCTTTTTTAAAAGCCCCTTTTACTGCTTTAAGCATAAAATACCTTTTAGTTTCATTGGTAGTGATGCTAAAGTAAGGCTGCGGTTGCACGATACGTAACTCGCAGTCGTACGTAGGTAGGACTATGATGCGACATAATAAAGCGCGTTGTTATAAGTACCTACGCTGCACGTACTTATCATATCAGTTTATAGGTTCTACAATTTCCAAAAAATATATATTTTTGGTGAAAGTTCAAAATATGAAATGAAATTTTGTGATGCCGATTCTACTTTGTCTATTCTGAACAAACAAATTTCAGATCTGTTTTAATAAAATTAGGAACACCCACGCGTTGTATTTTGCTCTGTTTCAACTGGTTCAGCAGGCTTGCGTGCTGCAACAACGCAGAGAAATTAATTTAGCATTATTATGAACGCTGCACTGCGTAACTCGCACTATCCAATCCAGCGCAACTGTGGCAACAACCTAATAAACAGATAATATTCAATTAGCAACTAATAAGAAGAAAGTAGGCAATCCTCCAACTGTTTCAAGTAAATAGAGAGGGTTAAGCTCCTAAATGAATTGAAGATTATGATTAATAAAAAGTATATACTTAATCCGAACATTAAAATCCGGACCTCTTACGGAACCATTACTCTTACCTACAGGGCAGATATGTACCATCCTAGACTGCATCTCACTTAACACGACGTGCGATTGCGGTCAAATATCTGCCTTGTCTTGAATAAAAAAACCCTCATCATCATCATCAACAGCCCTTTACAGTCCACTGCTGGACTATGAGCCTCCTCCACTATAGTGGAGGGTTTTGCCATAATCTCCACGCTTGGCAGGCGGGTTGGAGATCGCAGTTTAAAGGATTGATGTTTTTCAGAGAGCGCTGCTGCCCATTCTCTGTTTGATGTGTAGTCCCTAAGTCGCCTCTTACGACACCCGCGGGAAGAGTAGGGGTAAAAAAACCCTAAAAAGTAATAATATTTTGACTAGGTAAAACCAATCACGTAAAAAAGCTCTGTATCTTGCTTTTATATTTGCATATAGATAGTGGCAAAGGAAAAGTGAAAAATGTTATTATTAACTCTTTCTTTTCTTCGTGCCTTATCGATGTTCCATGGGTCGCGGAAGTTACATCACGAACATAAATCTCAGATATTCGCCGATGAATAAATTGTACTTGGTCTCGACGAGGCCTATCCGATCCTAATAGATTTCTTGAAATTTCATGGTTTATTTACCCAAAAACATAACAGCAAATTAATTCTTTAAGCATAATGTAGGATTAACGTATCACGTAGTAATTAATACTTATAATATTAGATAAATTAATTTCGTGTTTGATAAAGGGATGATAGAAAACGGTCGTTTACTAAATACCTACCTAGTTAACCACATAAAGATTCGATTTGTATGTTATATTATGTTCGGTTTCATGTGTGTTTCTACTCGTACATGATTATTGCCGACCAATAAACAAAACCAGGAAACGAAACATATTAGTTTGGCACTCCTTCACGCAGCCTTCCCGCTGGGCTTATGAAACCGCCATAAAACGGTCAGCACTGCTTTATGCATCCTAAGTGAAACGTGCTCAAATTATTACGGTAATAGCCATTGATTAACGGCCGCACAAATCATACAAGGACATGGAGTTTAATAAATTTGATCACTTGTAACTTGCAGGCGGAGCGTGTGACTTTATCCGCGCGACCACCATGTTGCACCAACACAAGGCATCTCTAGAGATTTTAAGAAAAACTAGCTTTTGCTCGCGGCTTCACCCGCGTGAAATTTAGTTTGTCACAGATTGTCATAAATTATAGCCTATATGTTATTGTAGGTTATAAAGAATAATACTGTAAAGTTTCATCAAAATCTGTTCAGTAGTTTTTGCGTGAAAGAGTAACAAACATCCATCCAGACATCTAAACTTTCGCATTAATAATATTAGTAGAATCACCATTCGCTTTACAACTAGATCTCTGCTGAAAAAAAACAATTGCAAGTTGGGAGGCAGGTTTCAGTAAAAGTACGCCTTTACGAGTAATTTTTCCTATGAACTAGTTGTTCTTCTTTCGTGTGAGAGCGTTGTTATAACTGGGGTCACAAGGGTTTGGTTTCAGTTTCTTAATGAGTCGCTATTGTCAATTGACCTAGCACCAATTATTTGGCTTAACATCATTAATGCATTAATGTAAAATTAAGAGAAAGTTATTGGACGAGAATTTTCTTAAGAAAATCAGTATGCCTTCAATATTTGAGAGCACGAATCTTCCGAACGAAGGAAACGCATAAATTTAACGAATTGAGACTTAGCGCCCCGCGGCGGCGTATTTACAAACACCATTCTTCACGCGGTCTAGCGGACAATTTATTCTCGGCGGGATTCATGACGCGCGCGGCTTCCGCAGCAGGACACGTGTCGATGGTCAGTCTTGGAAATGGAAAATTATGGACCGTGCAATACACAAATCATATAAATTTTAGTTCCCACTATACATACTACTTGCTTGATTTTAACGCCCGAGGCCGTGGTCCGAGTAAATTACGACATCAATAGAAATTTGTTAGTGCGTTTGAAGAATGGCCAGTTTAGTGTTTAGCCACGTGGATCACTGGCAGAGAATGCTTTATACATTAAGTTCATCTTATGTAACTAAAGAATATAAATAGCATACACTGCCTTTACCCTTGTACCATGCCATAAATGGTCATAAGTTATGGTCTAATCTAAGATACCTGCGAACGGTGTGGCCAACGAGTAAGTATTGCACATAAAAGAAAATGTTGTCGGGAATGAAAAGAGTAAAAAGGTATTGTTGGAAACTTCGCTTTATGAAGAAAGAAACAAAGAAATAAGTGCAAAATATTTTCGTGAAAGATTTGTTTTCACAAGGTGAATATGAAACTCTGTTTGAATTCAGCAATATTCTACGTTACAGAACACGAGATGTAAGTAATTACGATGATATACGCGAATATAATACCGTTATTATTTGATAAAATGTATAACATTTTAAGTAAAAATTGGAGAAACAGATTCTTAAACGACTGAAATATAAACAAGATAAAATATTATGGAAAATATTTTGTCATACAGAATACTCTCACAGGGCAGAAAATTGGCAACATTAAATGACTGAGTCCATGGGCACTCAAAGCGTCTTTTAAACAAAGTATTGGCCTCACATACGAGAATAAAAACCTTAGTTTACGTCCCTGCCAACAGACAAGCTGGTTCCTAGACCCCGCATTAAATTTGCAATCAGTCAATCGCAAACAATCACATTTTTTCTGCAAGAACTAATCGTTTTTCGTGATAATAGACTCGCGTTTTATTTATTTATTTATTTATTTATTTATTTGAACACCAACAAGGTTACATTGAGGCTTCACAAAAGTAACTATAAAAAAATGACACTTGTTAAATGCAAACTTAATGATAGGTGAAAACATCATGCGTTAGAGACTAAAGCAACAGCAATTAGGGATTAAAAACTAAAAATACTTATTTAATATGGTGTAAAGAAGTCCCTATGCTTGTTCAAATCGGTGAGATTTGTCCAAGCATGTGGACTTGTATTTACGTAAACTAAGGAAAAAAATATCAACATTACCATTATTGGACCTAGACAGGGCATTGTATTGATTAAACATTCTATTTAAAGGGGAAAACAGACCTATATTTGATTTGGAGCTCCTGGTCGCAAACAAGTTGTATCGGGATATCCTAGGCAACTTATAGGGAACGTTTAGATTAACTTTTGATAGCAGGTTAGNTATTAACTTTTGAGAGCAGGTTAGGGCAGTCAAAAGCACCGTTGACCAATTTGTATAAAAACGAACTATCAAGCACACAGCGGCGTTCCTGAAGAGTATTTAACTTGAAGTAACGTAATCTATCTTGATAGTGGGGTAATTTTTTTGCCAGGTTGACACTGAATGCCAGATGCCATAAAAACCTTTTTTGGATGCGCTCAAGTTTTTTTATATAAACGTCGTAATGTGGATTCCACACTACACTACAATATTCTAGACCACTTCGCACGAGTGCGTTGTATAAAACTATTTTAGTTTGTGACATCCTGCTCACTCAAGAGCCGGGTGAGCAGGATGACCAGCGTGCCGCGCGAGCCCGTTCGCCCAGTCTGGACGCACCATAAGAGACTAATAAACAATAGTTTATTACGTTTTGAAAGCTCACACCACCATTCTCCAAATTCGCCACTCCCTCTCTGAAAATTCAATCTTCCACAGTCCCTGCAGGTTACTTTCTACACTGACCTTGAGGTTGACCGTCTCCCTCGCCACCGGGTATTTGGAACTTGGCGTGAGGCTGAACACCGGCTCGGAGATGAAGAACCCAGACATCATCGACAGCAGCACCAGCACCAAGACTGGGAGCAGCTGGACGATGCCGGCGTGGGCCTCACGAGGTTCTGGCTCGCGGGCGCGGCGGCGCGTGTAGACGGTCGGGCCGCCGCCGGGGAAGGCTGCGAAGATGATTCTTTCATCATCATTACGTCATTTAGTCACTAAAAGATGCTGGTCTCATCATGATGACTTGCTGGACTGTCTAAAGGGCAAATGGAGCAACGACTCTCTAATTTACCAGGAGCCGAATGAATCGAAGAAAATGGAGGAGTCTATCTATACTCCCCATGTGACTATTGCTAATAGGACGGGTCAGGGAGGTCTCGTCATCATTTAGTCTTCAAAAGACGCTGGTCTCATTGTCAGGACAGTCTCCACTGAAAGCACGAGCCTCTAATTTACCATCTAGTAATTTAACCTCTACTGCAGAAGCACTGCATTATCTAAGAGACAGAGAGAGAAATGGAGGAAGTCATTAGTCTCCATTGCAGGAGCAACGACGCTCTCTAATTTACCAGAGGCAAATGGAGGATTTGGCTCATACTTCTCACGTTGAACAGACGGGTTGGAAGGCCTCATAGTCATTGTCATTTAGTCAGCACTGCAGGAGCTAGTACCATATTTAGGACGGTGCTAAAGATGCTCAGGTATATACAGATCGTCGAGAGGCAAAAAAAGACCAGAGAAGACCAAGTTTTGGGATATGAACGCAGTTATAGAATCTTGCACCGGGCGTATAAAACTGTATGATACTGGAAAGAACACGATCCTCCCTCTGAGGAAAATGGAGGAGCCTACACTCTTCGCTGACAATTCATCTGAAATTCTGGGGAAGTCGCATCATCATGGTATTATAGACACCAGGAGTTGCTAGCGGTACGCAGGTATATTCAGATCGTCAAGAGGCGAAGAAAAGACCAGAGAAGACAAACTTTTGGGTCACTTAGTAAAGTACGTAGTTATAGAAGCTTGCTTAAAAGACTGATTATGATACTGGAAAGAACTGGGTTGGAGAGGTCTCATGGTATAATAGACACCAGCACTAAGACAAGGCGTCTATTCTCCAGTCGCGACTATAAAGGTTGGGAGGTCCCATCATGGTATTATAGCCACCAGCACTAAGACTGGCAGCAGCTGGACGATGCCGGCGTGGGCCTCACGAGGTTCTGGCTCGCGGGCGCGGCGGCTCGTGTAGACGGTCGGACCGCCGCCTGGGAAGGCTGCGAAGAGGATTCTTTCATCATCATCAATAGCACTTAGAAGAACAACCCTCGCATCATCATCAGATCATTTACTCTCTACTGTAGGAGCAGGACGCTATAATTTACCGGAGGCAAATGGAGGATTTGAAGCCTACACTTCTGTTGATGATCAAACAGTTGGGGGAGCCTTAGTATTATTATCAAGTCATTTAGTATCTACTGCAGGAGTACGAGTCTCTAACGTACAAATGGAGGAGTCACTACGCTCATCAAAAAGCGTTGGGGATGCTTCATTGAAGTTATTTGGTGTAACTAGGGCGGAGCGATGTTGCCTAGACCGTACCTGACCGAGGGGCGAAGAAAAGACCAGAGAAGACCAAGTTTTGGGATATGGACGCAGTCATAGAAGCTTGCGGGGAGTATAAAAGACTGGAAAGAACACGATCCTCCTTCTAGAGGAAAATGGAGGAGCCTACACTCGTTGCTGACTAAAATGCTGGGGAAGTCGCATCATCATGGTAAACAAGTGGAAGATTCGGCCTATAAATAAATAAATATCTTTGGACAATCTCACACAGCGCCATCTAGCCCCAAAGTAAGCAATTAATATGCTTGTGTTATGGGTGCTAGCTTAACGGATATACTACTTATACTTTTTTTTTAAATACATAAATATTATACATAGTCACACCCAAGGACTTTGTCTGTGGGAGTGTTAGTTTCTACACGTGTTTTGACAAATATTTTGTGTTATCGTAATTGTTTTTCCAAATTTACCATATTTTCGTTAAGTTAACCTTAGTTATAGTCTTAATTAAGGTGGTGGTCGATTGTTTTACGGGTAAGTACCGTTCTTAGGAATGGAACCTTGCCCCCCTGATCCTCCTGATCCTCCTGATAGGGCCGCAACCCCTATGGAGCTCTCCCCTCCTCTTTTTACCCAAACGGGGACAAAAAGACGATCGGAAGTGGAATCCACTTCGGACGTAGAACCTGCCAAGAGACCTAGCACAACTCCAACTATGCTAACCTCTTCTAGCCAACCAATATACACACATCCATCTTTGGTAATTGCCCCCAAAATTTATGACGACCAGGACAAAGGTCCCTTCATTGTACATGTCTCCAGATTGGAATCTGAAACCTCCCAGGGATCTTACATACACCCAATGAGATTCGGTCAATTTCTTGTGAAAAATAAAATTCCCAACATAATGAATGATGGCGTTAAAAAGGTAGGTAGGAACCGTATTTCCGTAGAATTTAAATCCGCTAATGAAGCCAACAACTTTTTAAACAACAATTTATTAAACCTCCACAACTACGTTGCAACCATCCCAACATTTAACATCACCCGTATGGGTTTAATAAAAAATATACCAACTGATTGGACAATGGAGGAGTTGGCCGAGTCTATGGAGATTCCGGATGGCTGTGGAATCCTTCTCAAGGCCAGGCGACTTAATAGGAAAATTACCATAGACGGTAAACCATCATGGACCCCAACACAGTCGGTGGTTGTCACTTTTAGGGGGCAAGTTCTTCCCCTAAGAGTGTACTGCTATCACACCTCCCTTCCAGTTGAATCCTATCAACTGCCCACCATACAATGCCTGAATTGCTGCCGTTTTGGACACGTAAAAGCCCAATGTAGATCAAAACCCCGTTGTTACAAATGCTCTCAACCTCACTCGGGTGATTCTTGTGAGGTGATTGAAGGCAAATCAACATGCATCCATTGCTCAGGTCCCCATACCGCCCTAAATAAGTCTTGCCCGGAGTACTCTAGACAAAAATCAATTAAACTTGTCATGTCTCAAGACAATATATCATATTCTGAAGCCTCTTCCCATTTCCCGTCTGTACGGCTTTCATACTCGGACACTACCAAGATGTCCCCACCTCCCTCAACTAGGCCTACCCAATTGACCTCCAATACCTTCCCAACCGTCTCTTACAAAAAGACTGTTACACGTCAACCCTCCCCTCGGGCCGCTTTAGGTAAAGGCTATGACAGACAAGCACATCAATCCATCATTGGAAGTTGCCCTTCCTCTCTTCCCAATGGATGTGCCCTTATTAATAACTGCAATGCAGATGAGGAAAACCAACCTTTTTCACCCTCGACAGAAAACCTACTAGACTATATTTTGTCTATGTTATTATGCCTCCTCACAAGTCATACTAGCTCCCTACCGTCCAACGTTGCCCAAAAACTAACCCAAATTGGTAACTTAGCTGTTAACATTCAATCCGTCAATGGTAGTTCAATGGAACTGCCAAAGTATTAGAAGAAAGAAACATGAACTTATGTTTATTATCAGAAAACACTCGCCATCTATCCTAGCCATCTCGGAGACTTGGTTAATCCCTGATTCACATTTTCGTGTAGCAGGATTCTCTTGTCTCCGAGAGGATAGAAATGATGGCTATGCAGGAACAGCCTTACTCATAAGGCGTTCTCTTTCTTTTCACCAACTCCCTCTTCCACCTCACAGCCAAGGCATCAATGCCGTGGCAATTCGCTCTTTCAATATCTCCTTCCTTTCCGTTTATATCCCTCATCCTAATTCAACTGTATTTTCAGAACTTCGATCTATCATTTCTTCTCTTCCCCCTCCGGTCCTCGTAATGGGCGACTTTAACGCTCATCACGTTTCCTGGGGTTCTTACCACTCGGATTCATCAGGGTCATTAATGTTAGATCTGATAGATGATATCAATCTTTGTATTTTAAATAACGGCCGTCCCACGAGAAGATGTTCTCCTTCACAAAATCCTGCCTCTGCTGTTGATCTGTCTTTTTGCTCACCTAATTTATCCTCCCTTCTGTCATGGAATGTACTTAGGAGTACTTTTGGAAGCGACCACTACCCAATATTAATTTCTTTTCCCACTGAATCCGTAGCAACTTGCGCCCCTCCTCCACTTCTGAAGTACAATCTTAACAAAGCAGATTGGTCAGCTTTTTCGACAGCGGTAGATACAGAATTAAACTCTCTTCCAGCTGTTAACCCTCACGATCCTTCGCTGAGCTATAAAAATTTTGTTGACATTCTGTCATCATCTGCTGATTCTCACATCCCTTTAAAAAACCCTTTTTGTAAAAACCCTTCTACTCCATGGTGGGATGCTGAATGCTCAGCCGCTATTCGTAGACGCAAAGAAGCTGAAAGACGTTACAATAACTCAATGACCATGGATAACTTTTTGCAATATCAGCAAATAGCAGCCCAAACTAAAAAAACTCTGAAGCAAAAAAAGAAACAGGGTTGGTTAAAATTTTGCGAGACTATGTCCCCAAGAACGCCTTCTGCTATCGTTTGGAAACAAATAAAACGGTTTCGCAAATCAACTAATACTGTTAACATAACTTCCAACGACCCGACCAGTTGGTTAACTGAATTCACTGACAAATTAGCTCCACCTTTCGCCCCTTACATCGACTGTTTCCCCTCAGACATTGACATCCCCATTTCTTCCTCCAGTAATTTAGACAACACTTTCTCTTTTAACGAACTTCTTTGTGCTTTGAGTGGATTAAGGGACTCCACTCCTGGATTGGATGGTATCCCCTATTCTTTTCTCTGCAAATCCTCCAATGCAGCTAAATTGTATTTCCTTAACCTAGTTAATTGCTTCTTCGACAAGGGTTTTATTCCAGATTCCTGGAAACAGCAAACTGTCATCCCAATCTTAAAGCCTGGCAAGGATCCTCTGGACCATAATTCATATAGACCAATTGCCCTATCATCCGTTTTACTGAAAATTACCGAGCATATGATAAGGAACCGCCTCGAGTGGTTTTTGGAATCAAAAAACACCCTTGCTAAATCTCAATTTGGTTTTCGGAAAGGTTTCAGCACCCTCGACAGTCTGAGCATACTAACCACAGATATTCGCACAGCATTCATAAACAAGGAATACCTGGTAGGAGTATTCCTAGACATTGCCTCTGCTTATGACAACGTTCTTCTTCCAACACTCAGGCAAAAATTGCTTCAGCTGAGTGGCTCGCCGAAGATGGTCCGCTTTATCTGCAATTCTCTAATGTCTAGATCGATTGTAGTAAAATTCCAAAACAACTGCTCCTCACCAAGTTTAGTATGGAAAGGCTTACCACAAGGATCTGTGCTCAGTCCGCTTTTATACAGCATCTACACCTACGATCTAGAACGAACGGTCCTCCCGTTCGTTAATATCTTACAATATGCAGATGACATAGCTCTTTATGTCGTTGTAAAGTCTATTCCAGAAGCCTCTTCCCGCATGAATTCCGCTCTAAGATACTTGGATGACTGGCTGTCGGACCATGGTCTCTCAGTTTCGGTTCCCAAATGCTCAGCCGTTGTATTTACAAGGAAACATACAATTCCTGATCCG